CCCTCGCCGACGGTCGGTTGGTCCCTCGGAGCCGCTGTGCCGGTCATGGCAGCTCCGCCGCGTCCATCTGCGGGCGATGCCAGCGTGGAGCACGCACGAGCCTGTCCACGGGGAAGCCAGGTCTCATTTCTGAGCCAGGGACAACCCCGAGAGTCTAGAGTGGCTCTCCTGCTGCGGCCGGAACCGAAGGAGTATGGCCAGAGAGCTGTGTTCCTGGCCTTGACACAGGTAAGCATTAACAGATTTGCTGTTGAAAACTGGGTATGTGAAAGGAGTTGGTGGATGAGACTTTGTGGGGTGGTTTCTTGGCTGGCGCAGGGGGGGAACCTGGAAAGCACGCAGATCAAAATCTCCACCGCTTGATTCTCATTTACAACCCAAACACTGAAAGATTTAACTGCAAACTCTGCTTCGCTTCAAGGGTGAGTCTGAAGCACCTGGCAGAACCAAAAATCTCAGGTAACTTTGTGAGGTCAGTGGTAGAACAGAAGAGCTAAATGGCTCAGAAGTAACACCACGAGCATCTGCCTTGAGGCCTGCTCGAGGCCGGAATCTGTCTCACCATTGCAAGCAGTATCTGACGGCAAAACTCCCTTATGGATTTTACCACTGTTACTGTGCTGAAGTGGTCCTTGCAGGGAGGAAATGGCGTTTCTCTTGGCCAAGAATCCGCCCTCTCAGCCTTCTGCTCGGCTGCTCGAATGCCCAGTATTCCTTCGCACGAGGTGTCTAACACTCCTCACGATTAAAGACACAAGATTAACCACCCCACCACCTCCTTTTTTTCTTTGGACTCATTGGTAACTTGCAGTCAACTGGTAGGAACTGGGAAAGATTCCAGTACCCCACGGGCACCCACATTCCTTAGGCCCTGGGAGGTCCGGGGTGAGGACAGACCGTCGCAAAACCCCGAGCCTGTCCCGCAGCTCAGCGCGGGAGGGTGCCATCTCCCCCCCCCCAGCCCCGCGGACCCCTCGAGAGCGCAGTGCCAGCAGCCGGCCTCCCTCCCAGCCCTGCTCCGACAGCCAGCGTGCTGCGAAAGGCACCACGGCCACAGCGCTGCGGTTCCCGGCCCGCAGGCACCCGTGGGAACGGCCCTCATCTGCACACACCGGGGCTGGACAGCCCCAGGCACAGGGCAGCGTTTTGTTCATCGAGCCGAAGCCAGGCACGACCTGCCCCTCGATAGTCTGCAGAAACAGCTTTGCTTTCACTTGTTCTTTCTTGGAGCAGTTTGAGACCTCAGCTAACCTTCAAGGATCACAAGTTCACCATGTGGAAGCTATCCCATTTTCTGTTTGGTATCATTTGGCTCCAGATGCTTTCTGTGACTCCAGGGAAACCGTACCAGTCTAGAAAAGACAATATATACCAGATTATTCCCCCCCCAATGGAATGGAGTGCTGCAAATTACTGATGGCCAAGCCCATTCACTGGGGACATACTGCTTTCCCTGTCATACTTTTCCAGGTGCCCACTGGACCCTGGCTGCAGTGACAGCTTAGGTGGATCGTCTTGCCATTCTGCCACCTATGCTTTTACCAAACATTTCCATGAGTCAGAACAGACCACAGGATACAAGAGCTGATTCAGAGCCAGGGGGCAGAATCACCCCTGCGTGCAACCAGGGACCTGTCTTGGCAGCAGCCAAACAGCTGGGGTTTTTGGTTCAGCTCGGGAGCGGGTTCCGAAGCCTGCCCGTGAAACACCGCTGAGCTCGGCCCACGGGCGGGACGCCCGCGCGGAGCCGTGCCTCCAGCCAGGGCCAGCCTGCACCAGAGGGCACACGCGCTTGGAGCTCAGGAGAGGCTGCTGGGCACGCAGCAATAAAAATGAGGAGTGGAACCCAGAGTGAAAATATCTTTCTTAAAACCTTGAGAGGCTGTCGTGTCCCGGGATCTCTGCTTGCGGGGGTCTGTGGTGTTCAGGGCGCCAGCCGCGTGCCTCGAGCGAAGCTCCTGCCCCGCTTGGTGGGCGCAGCTCCGAGCGTGCTCTCAGGTTCTCCAAGCAGTGAGCTACAGGGATGTAGGTTAGTTCAAGCTGAATTCAAGTCACGTATTCCTTAGCAAAGATTTCTGGGAATATATCATCGTGCCAAACTGTCCCTCTGCCAATTTCCAGGAACAGCCGAAGTAAAACCAGTCAGCAAATCCGGCAGGGTTACCAAAGCACAAATGCTTTCCACCGTAGCAGGAGTCACACAGCTCTTCCTAGACAGCACATTCCTATCTTAAGGAAACTGTGCAAAAAGCAACCCAAAAGGACAGATTCCAAAATACTGTAGATTTTTCTAAGAAAAAAGCTATGCTTAGTCCAGAAAAGCAGCCCAGAGGAGATGATTTAACTCACTTTTATCAAATTGTCAGACATTCAAATAGGATTCGGCTTTAAAGCTTTTGCCATTTCAGCAAGCTTTCTTACAAAAAGGTTACGCTCATTCTAAGATACAAAACTCCGTCTACAGAGCATCTATCAAAGCACAATCATCTCGCAGATAAAAACACTGATTAATAGCACAGGCTCTAGCAGCTGATGTACTTAAATATAAAAACCCACATCATTTTAAAGACATTTGCTTGCCAACAGTTCATTAACCATACGCAGAAGGAACAGTACAAGTCTCCTTACATACTGTATAATCTCCATACAGTGTTGTTTCTTTTTTTAAAGGGCCAAGCTGTATGTACACCGAAACGGTGTTCTTCAGTCTTTTGCATACTGAAATTGCAGCCACAAACACTCATCCATCTTTAAAACAAATCAAGACGTAAGAAAAAGATTAATCTGAGGTAAGAACCATATAGGTTGCCTAACTAGCAGAAGACAGAATTCCACAGCAACCTACAGAAACTAACATAACTGTTTGCCTTAAAATCTTCCAGTAAGTACTGTTCCACCGAGACCTCTCTCTGCACAGGAGCTCGTTACTGAGAAAACACAAGTGTCTGTGCCATTTGCAAGTTAGCTGCAGAAAGAACTACTAAAACACCAAGTGCTCTTGGAACTCAAATTCTGAGCTGATCTTTTGCTACTAAGAGGACATTGTTTTGACAGCAGTCCCTCGACACGCCCTTATTGAACATGAAGTGCAAAGCCGGCCTAGAAATAAAAGCAGCTTTGATGCTGAACAAATGAAACCGCCAAGGTGAGAAGAGAGGCAGGCAGGGATGAAGGTTAAACTCATTCTTTCAATCCAGTCTGTGCCACAGTCATGGAAATTAAATTGGAGAAACAAAATTCTACCAGAACCTGTGCACCATTTCTCTTAACGAAGCCGAGAACCACAAAGCCTGCTTACGCTACCCGGGTGTTCCTGGAGACATGATCGCACTGAGGGTCGGTCTCTCTCCAGCAGCTGAAGCAAGGTCAGTGAAATCCTCGGGCCGTTTCAGCCCCAGCTGGAGTAACAGCTTTGCACAGATTGGCACTTGGTGTTGGCACAAAGCGCGCTGCTGAAAAATGAAACCATGGCATCACTGTGCAATTTGCAGGAGCTGATGACCACCACCCCTGCTGACGTCCTGCCTCTGGAGAACGTCAGCAGCGCACACCTGGATATTACACACGACGTGCACGGTGGTCCCAGCTGTGCAAGTGCTCTGGCTTCAGCCACGAGGCTGGCAGGGACAGCACAGACAGGCAGCTTTCACCCGCTACCGGGCCTGCTCGGCTGAGAGGGAGGATCGTACAGCCTGAGGCGATGCACTCCCACGACTGAAAGGTCTAAACCTTTGCCAGCTTAAAGCTAAGGGTAAAAGGAGATGCATCTTTCCGAGGCAGTACCTCTCAAAAGCTTGCTGATTTGCCCAACAGTGAGAAAATAAGCTCCGAAAACAGAACGTGCGAGAGGCCCAGTAAGAGCTGACATTTATTCAATGCTAACACCTACAGATTTACAGATACTGAACAGTAACTCTTCCCTCACCTAGAGAGAGAGAAAAGCAGACCCACAGCTCCACAAGGAACAGCCACTGCCCACCTCACTGCTTTTTCAGGCTGTATGGCAGACCTAGAGCCGATTTGACACCTGAAAACGGCGGGGAACTCCACACAGCAGAGCTCGTGCGCTTAAAGTAACGCGGTTTGCTTTTGTAAAAGATGTCCTCCAGCTTGGGGCTTGCGATCACCCCAAAGATTGCGTCGACGTTGGGAGGGTTGTAGTACTGGCGGATTACAGCTTGGTTAAGCTGATTCCCTGGAGAAACAAAAGATTAAATTTTCATTAATTTGTTTAATTGGAATTGCTGTGTAGGCCGTTTGTATGCCCTGTTTCCCTGCTCTCCTCATCTCTAATCACACTGAGATCGCAAATGGGAGAAATCCTGCAGTATTTGATGTTTTAAAGCACCCTGTTTAAGCCTAAAGCTTCAGCATAGATCACTTGGATGGCAAATATTGTGTGCACTGAATTCTGTCCAGGAACTAGAACAAATTTGCAAGAGGCGAGGCTTCTCACTTTTCTTCCTGCAGACACCATCAGCTTCCCCCCAACTTCTTAGCTCCCCTGAGGTAGGTAGAACATGAAATCACGGAACCGAGTATTTCAGAACCAGAACAGCTGCCAGTCTGGAACCTGGTCTGCGACATCTGGCATTACGTTGCTTTTGAAAGCCAAACCAGCGTCAAGCAGGCTCCAGGCCAAAGCACTAGTTCATAATTATTCCTTTCACATTGGCCAGATGACACTAGCCGCTGTGTTAAGGCAGTTTAAAAGAGTATTTGTTCCGCATCATTGTCACAAGAAGATCCCCAAGTGACAGAGGAGCCCTTGACTCGGCACTCCAGCCACACTGCTGGAGACTAGTACTTACAACTGCAGTGTACAAGCAGAAGGAACTAGCAGGTTCTTCCTACCAGTGGGAGCAAAGCCACAGTAGGGTTTGTTGGGGGATCTCAGGACAGATATCGACCTGTTAACACTTACCAGTGGCCCAGGCAGGGATGGGCTTGCGAGGCTGGCTTTCGTCATCAGTAGAGTCATCGCTGTTCAAATCCATTCCATAGTTGTTTGGATTTATCGTGGGGGGCTTTGGATCCTTCTGGACCTTTGGAGTCATCTGGTACGAACTGCAGGCAGGCGAGTTCTAGAAGACAAACACATCCCACAGGCGTTAGATGCAACAGCACTGCTACGCTTCCGAGGTGCAGCGAGACGCTTGTCGACTAGAACACCTCAGTATTCCACCTCCTGATTGCTTAGATGGAGTTGCTGCTCAGCTCCAGCTTTGGGAACGTAACATGCTTTCAAGACTCTGCAACCAAACTTCTGGGCTTGTTTAATAACATTAAACCGAATATCACCTTGTAGACAATATGCACATCATTAACATTAACTCAGTTTTCACTGGTTTTGCATTTAAAGATTAAAAGATCTAGCTTTGGAGGGAGCTACAGATCGGTACATTCGCCTTCAGCGACGCCTACCTCCCCTCCAGGGTCTCCTCAGGCTCCACCGGCGGTGAGGCACAAGCACCACTGTTCCCCTGACTCTGCTGCCATCCCGTGGCTTTGACCTTAACGCTACTCCAGCACCGCTGCTGCCTGCGGGGCTCATCCAGCATTCGAAGAGCTTAGAAAGGCAAACTTAACAGCCACTGCCTTGTCCTGACAACTAGAAACCCCTGGCAAATACTTGCCACTTCCCTGCTGTCCACTCCCCAGAGGTCAATCAGATACTCAAGGCTACCAGGAGTCAACCTCAGGTAACCAGGTAAAGTGTTACAGAATCCCTTCATTAACTGAAAGGGAATAAAAAAAGCAGAGGGTAGAAGTGCCCATTGGAACAGCATGTCAGTGCTGGAATCAAAGTTCTCTGATGTCATCCCTTAAAGAAGTTTCACCAGAGAGAGCAGAATTACCTCTTTGTTTTCGAGGTGCTGTGTGTGGGCTATATCTGTAGCCTTTTGTTCCTCTGGCAGTTTCTTCTGTTCCTGCTCCTGCCTCTTCATCTCTGCCAGCCTCTGCTCCTCCTGCTGCCAAGCCGACACCACAAACGGATTAATCTTACGAACTAAGCTACGCTGCTGATCCAGGGATCCATTTTGTCGAGATTAAAAAAAAAATATATATATATCTAAGCATCTCATTGCAAGTCTGTGTCACTTGTGATGCTAAGGAGCACTTTGAACACAGCGCAGACAGTAAACAAATGCAATGCAACAGGTTGAGCTCTCCTCACAAAGTGGCACAAACAAATTGACCTTCCATTTAAGAGCATTAGTTGCCCTCCTCTGATAATGCGATGACCTCATGCTTTGAAAAACTTGCCCCTGGCTTTATCTGTAGGGTGCAAACATCAGAAACCAGCTGCAGATGGAAAAGTCTGTGCTACAGATCCTAGGCTCTCTTTAGGCCAATAAACAGTATTTTTAGAGCCCAAGTCACCCCACTGTACAGTAACCACTCCAAACAGGTCAAAAGAACCTCACCCCATGAATACTTAGTTTTTCCTACTGAATCCAAAGGAAACCCAGAGGCCGCTAACTCAAACAGCAGACATCTAAAATCAAGCGAAATAAAGCCCACCAAATCTTAACAGCAGGACAAGCTGTACAGAGGTTTCCTGCTAGCTGCCCGTCAACCCCACGAAGCTAGGCGACAGCGAGGGGCTTGCTGGGCACGCGGGGATCCCCACCAAGGAACCCAGCTCCCTGAAGTCAGCTGGACAGCCACTGTCACTGTGCTAACACCACAGCTCTGCTAAGAGCAGTGACAACGATTTCAGGCAAATGTTGGACAGTTTCCAACCAACTATTCCAACTTTCTGGTCTTTCTCACGAATCGTCTTGAAAGCGCAAGTTCTCCCAGATTTTCTATAAACTAAAAATCAACAGTCCAAACAGCAAAGGATTTGCTACCAATTCCCAGCAATTACTGTGTGCAAATCTTTCAGAAGGGACATTCCAAGCTACCTGAACACCACCTTTATCTCTGCTCCGGTGAAAATGCATGCTGCGAGTTATGCAAAAACCCGAGTCTTCAGCTGCAGTTGCTTTATTCAAATAGCACGGACTGCCAAGGCATCAAAAGTTCCCTCTTCAACACCACATGCAGAAACACCTGCTTAGTTAATCTATGCTGGCATGACTGTTGCAGAAAATAACCTGACAAAGTCTACAGTCTGTACTTGTTGTTCTGCTGAAGGTGCCACAAATGTAAAATTCTGTAAAAATGTAAAATCTTCTGAAAAGCCTGGGATTAATCACTGTTTAATATCTAGAGAGGTACAGATACACCTGGGCACAGAACAGGAGAAAAGCTGAAAACCTCACTTCAATTCCACCTGTGTGTTATCTCTCCTTTCTTCCTGCACTGCGGCCATCTAAAGAGAGCGAGCGTACCCTCTGTACCTCCCGAAAGGGACAGAGAACAGGCGCTGGGCAGAAGCGCCTTTGGCTGGCTCACGTTCACAAGTGCAACAGCTCACTCATCAGGGCTCCTGACGGCTTCACGGCCCAGCGGCTCCCGACCGTAACGGCTAGTGAAGTCAGATCCATGCGGCTCTACCCATCTACGAGAAAGGAGTACTTACTTCCTTCTTCTCTGTCTCCTTGAGGAGCTGTTCTTTTGCAGCCAACGCTTCCTTCTGCAGGCGAGCAGCCTTCTCCTGCTGTTCACGAAGCCTGAGAACCAAAGCAACAGACCATTACTCTCAAAACAATACAGAAGATTTTACATTTTTACACATCCCATCCAGCGCCTGCTGCAAACCCCTATTTCCCACAGCTTTTCAGGGCGCTCCCTACCATACTTCCCACATTACTGAGCCCAGAATTTCTTCCTAGCAGGTCAGTACCCATGACGGTCCAGAGTTGCACTGATAGCACTAATTAGCTCTTCACTGCTCGAGCCTTTCGCTGGTGCCCTCTGTTCCTGCTTCTTTTCAAAGTCCCAGCATAGAATTTAGTACATAAATGGATATTGTCTTACTTTTCTGCCTGGATCCTCTCCTGTTCCTTCTTCCTCTCCAGCTCTCTCTCTGCAGCCAGCTGTTTCTCTCTCTCCTGTTCCGCCTGTCGCTGCTCAGCAATCCTCCTGGCACGTTCCTGCTCCTCTTCCTTCCTCTTCTGCATTAGCTCTTTGTGCCGACGTTCCTCCTCCTCCTGTAAGCCCAACAAGGCAACTACTCACCTTACATGGTACAGGAGCAGGCTCCAGAACAAAGGAGCATGACTTTATTTGACCCGAGTCTCTAGCACCTGTCACTAGGCAGCAGGGAAACAACTCTGGGCTAAAGTCCCGGTGCTCTCAAGGTAGGTGCACCATCTCTCCAGCTATTTCAGTGCTGGCTTTCCCCCGCCCACAAGGTATCCCAAAGGGCCTAATGGCCACCATGATCTGGGATAGGTTTAACCAACTTTAATACTTGCTGATTCATAAACTCGGGTCTTTGGTAAGAATCTGTCCAGAACTGCGGAAGAAATGTGGGTCACAACTACCACTAACAACTTACAGCATATTGCAAGAGGAAGCACAACACTGCAGAGAGCTTCAAGGACAAAGCCTCTCCGCTACACTAATCTTCACTCAGCTGGTTCGTGTGAGTACTCCCACTGGATTCCCTGCCTGCAAAGCCTGTGGCAGATCGCAGCCATTCTAATTGCATGCAGGACAATAGGATGGGCTCCAGCACAGACCTGTTGCAGTGCTTTTTGTTTTCTGACTTCTTCATCATGCCTGCGCCGGGCCTCTGCTTCTTCCATTTTCTTGGCAGCTGCTTTCTTTCTGATCTTCTCTTCTGCCAGCCTTTCCTCCCGCACCTAAGGCACACACAGAGCTAGCTGAATACCTGCGTCTCAGACGGGACAGCTCTCTGTGCAAATATCCTAGCAGCAAGTCTCAAAGATGTAGAGATCCCACCCTCTCATGGGACAAAAGCTTTCTTTTTGCCACAAGGAGCCAATGGGACCTGTGCTTTATTTTAAAAACGTAATATTTAGGGAAATTACCTTCTTTTACATCTCCACGGGAAGAGCTATCCTATTCTGGTAGTTACACATCTAATACCACAAAAGCCAACAGACTATATTCTCAGAACCATGAAATAAGAAAAGCAGATAGAGATAATTAAAGCAGACAAATGACTGCTGTGGTCACTTGTGCAAATTGTTCGAAAGTCTCAGGCACAAGAAGGGGTCTGGAGGAAGTACGTTTATTTTCACCTCTTCATCTGTTAGTCAGATGGGAGAACAGCTTCAGGTAGATAAAGCCTCAGGGCCATTCGGCTTGCTTTACCTACTTGAGGTTCTTCTCCTAACCTCACCAACAGAGCCTTAATAAAGCCCATTTAGATTCATAATTTTGTAAAATAAGAGTTTTAATCTGCAATTGGCTGTAACCAAGAGCAAGGCAGTCACTCCGAATCACCAAGTTTCTGCAAAGTTCTTTAATCAGCTGTTCCCCGGTTCATTCTCTAGACTTTGAGCAGCCTCAGTTCCTCTCTTTCTGGAATCCACACTCGTGTGGCATCATCTACCTGAATAGGTCATTTATTCTCCCAAATAAGCTCTATAGGTATACGGGCCTTACCTTCTCAGTCTTCTCATCAAACAGAGCTATCTTCTGCTCTATGCGCCTCTTCCTCTCTTCCTCTATTTGCTCTGCCCGCTCCCGAGCTTGCAGCACTTTGCGCAGCCGCTCCTCACGCTTCCTATAGGACACAGCCCAACTTTGTCACTGTAGTCCAGCTAGACGAGTTCCTTACTACTGATAGAGGAGATTGTAAGAAACGTGAAACTATAACAAAAAAGCCTTAATGTTTTCTAGTTTTTAGTAGTCTTTAGTACTGTAACTTGTATTCCTGCACGTGTAGTGATCCAACGATGTAACTGTTACACCAATCCCTGTTTTCTCATTAAGGAATGTAGTGGAAGGACATGGGCACAAGCTCTCACTTGGTCGTTAGACAAAATAATGAAGTGAAACAAAAGCGGTCTTGGTTCTCAGCAAATAATTAGGATAATTGTGGGATAGAAGAGACTCCTCAATAATTCTACTCCAGACAGCTCGGCCTCGGGAGGGCAAATGCACCAAGCTCCAGAGATAAGGAGGCACCCAGAGAGCAACCAGACCAGAGCCAAACACCCTGGAGGACAGGATGGACGTGATCCTGGAACTGAGTCTGTGCAGAAACAAAGGTCAGTCAGTGAACAGCGTGATGAAGAGGATGTGCCTTCATCCTGGGACCCCCAAAGACCTCCCAAAGATGCTAAGAGACACATGTGAAAGATATTTGCATACGCTAATGAGTTCTTAGAAATATACTCAAATACAAGGCCAACAGACACAGGTCTTGGGCCTTGAAATTCAAGGAACCAAATACACCATTCATTTAAACCTTAGCAATATTTTTAAGCTCCACCTGAAACAGAGGACTTCAGCTGAAAAGGTGAAGAAGCAGTCAGCTAGGACAGTTAACTTTTTATAAGCATTCTAGATAGACGCTATGAGAACAAATACTGTCTTTGTGGTGTGAGAGCAAGCTGACAAGAATTTCTGCTCCATATACGGACTCTGCAAGATAAAAGATCTGGATATAGGGACCTACAGGTGCAGAGAGAGGAGTTCCAGACAAGGCAGAAATCGTATACTCACAGCTTCGCCTCTTCTAGTCGCCGCTTCTTTTCTTCCTCCAGTTTCTGTTTTCTCAGCTGCTCAGCTGCTTGCTTTTTCCTCAGAGTCTCTAGCTTCTGTCTCTCCTTTTCCTGAAGTGGATTGAGATGTGATTATACCCACCTGCCAGGGCTTCTTTCTACCTTAACTTCCTCAGGTCAAGTAAGGACCCAGAGATAACACCAAGGAACTGCAGTCGGAACCAAGGGATGGCAACAACCCTGAAACAGAGCTCAGGTAGCCTGCGATGAGGCCATGGATGTTTGGGAACAAACATGATGGAAAACAAGGCAGTGGTGTTAATCTTAGAGAGCAAGAGAAGAAGCTAGGAAGCTGAAACAGAAGCATCAGCTCCTGAAGTCCAGTCAGCTCCTGCAGAGATTGCAGACAGACAGCACTGTGATTTATGTTGGTGAAAAGAACCAAAAAGCAGCGCTAACGCTTGGCAATGATACCCAGTTCCTGCAGCGAGCGCAGGGGACAGATGGTGTTCTAGGAAACACCTTGCTTACTTCAGCTCAGAGCTCCCACTGGCGCCTTTGCTTCCCACAAAGCTTTATCTCATGGTAAACCACCACCATCGAGACAGAGTGCTTACGGCTTGCTTCAAGCACACAGCCAGCCTCATACGTCATCTAGGCAGAAACGCAGGGCATTTTTCTAAACAGTCCAGCTAACTCAGCCTAACTATGGTGTCAAGTAGAAGAGGAAGATCCAGCCATCGCTACAGTCACGGCAAACAGATTAAGATAACCTAATTCAATGCCAGATTTGATGCTGCAGACGCCTATTTATGACAGGCCTGGTGTTAGTACAAACCCTTTGATAAGCACAGTGAAATAGTCAAGTGATTACCTTATGCTGGGCTCCATGTTGTAAATGATTGCTGCCCTTGGTATCCAAGCTGGCTAATTTAAAACTAACAATAATATCTTATTGCTTCTGGGCTCCATGTTGTAAATGATTGCTGCCCTTAGTATCCAAGCTGGCTAATTTAAAACTAACAATAATATCTTATTGCTTTGGTGCTATTTAATTATGTTTAGCCCCCACATGAAAAAGTCCTGAGGGGAAGTTGCCTGCACGGGAATGAGACCTAAAACATAAAATCCAATGAACTGACAGCACCACAGGGTGCCCCAGCCAGCAGACTCTTTTCTCATCACATTAGCTCCTTTGCCAATACAGACACTAACGTCAGCAGAACACCAGTGAGACTGAAGCTTCCATCTTTCACTGCTTTCTAACGATAGACTGGAGTACAGCAAGGCTCTGAACAGTACAACCACAACAGCTTTAAGCAATACAAGGAAGTTCTGACATTAGGTTGCCAGATGTCAGCTAGATGCAGGAAAACCAGTTTCTGCAGTATGCCCTCCTCCCTCCTCTCCCCAGCTCTCCTGCAAGTGAAAACAAGCCCTAGAACTATCTTATTTTGCAGGCCAGTTGTTGGGTACCAGAAGCATGAGCAATCTACGCTTGGCATGCCAGCTTCTAGCAAGTCCCTTGGTGCATCCATGAAGCTACACCCTTGTACTTGCCTGACACAGCCAGAGCGCTACCCTGGCACAGGAACTACAGCACACTGTTCAGCTTTTCCCTGAACGCTGCCATCCCTTTGGAGTTAAATACCAAATCCAAAAATGCAGGTCAGGCAAGAGCGAGGGCTGCCCATCAGTGACGCAGGTAGTATTCCTACTGCAAGTATAATCAAATGATCATGATTTACAACCATACTGTCCTGTGTAAGCAGAACACAGGGAAAACCAGCTCCCTTTGGAAATGTAGAACTAGATCTTCCCAAATCCCATCCACCCAAACTACTCCTCTGTTTGGGGTACAGTAGCTTCCTGTGGTGCTGTAAACTTCACGGTGGTATTGCAGAGGTGGAGGCATCTGCCTGCAAACAGCAAAACGCGTGCTGTTTGTCTTTGCTGGTTGCAACTACACTGATATGGACACCTATTAGCTTTGGACACTGGCATGCTTGTCTCACTGACCCAGCAGCCT